GGAAATTTGAGTTATGAGTGATGACGAGGAGTGAGGACCTTGGAAGGGAGTTACTTCGTAAGCGGAACCGGCAGGAGGAAATACCGACCGACCAGGTCCTCGATCCCTGCAGTGTACACGGTGCGTTATACTAGTGTGCCGTCATCATCTATTGATCGCATTTGTTTAAAAAAATTATATTCATCAAAATATAAGAAAATACGATTTTTGCTCACCTCTGTTAGGATGGTTGGCTGGATGCTGAGATAGTGGGATGACACAGTGACTATGTATATTTGCAGTTAATACAATGTTTGTGAGCAGCATATGTGGTATGTATAAATGAAGATCAGCATCGACGATAAAAACAGAGAACGAATAATAAATAACGGCTATTGAAATCCAACGGATAGAATCAATAACAGTAAAAAGCAATCATTTGTAAAGCATTTTGACGATATTCTGTTTATAAGGAATGCAAGAATGGAATGTAAACAAAGATTATATAGTATAGGTACTACTAAGGTTACTCAATATTTATAGAAAAAACTAAACAATTTTAATTTTAATATCAATACTCAATAGCATACTACAATTCTTAATCTGAATATATTTCAAAGTCATTGTGTAATGTGTATTGAAAATTATGAATTAAATAATAGTGTAATGATTCTAATGTTCATACGATTGTCGATTAATATTCTTGTAATAATAACAATATAACAAAAATGTTTATGGTTTTCTGTAATATGTTAAACATTTTTTTTTAAATATCTGTTCAAGAAACGAATGAGAATTTGTTTTACTACAATATGTTCAATAGCCTTAGGTTTTACAATTAAAAATTGTATCCTATTTTCATTTTTCAATTAGGTGCCTAGGCACAAAATAATTTACAAATGTTCGTGATTTTGACAAATTTCATAAACGTTTTACATATTTAATGCTTATAAAAAAAAATTATAACTACCTACGTATTTTCGATATTTTTAATTGCTATAAGTACCTACAAAATATTATTATTGTATACAATATATTGGTGTAAAAACTTTTCCCCCAAACTGTCTTTTTCAGCTCTTAAGACAGACCTATTAACAAATATTTGTTAGTATTAGGTCTATGTTTTAAAATAATAAAAAATTTCAATCTTCTGCGTGCTTATTTACGTAGTGGTGACACCACCCATTTAAGTTATCAATGTTCTCGCCATGTTGCATCTAACGTAATAATTATAGATTTCGGTTGTCTGGTTTTCATAGTCTGCATCTGCATAATATTTATAACATAATAAACATGACCTTATTTAGCTACCGTTTTCGTATGTGCAAGCGATTTATGTAAATGAAATATTATGTTTAAATTGTTTCTTGTTTTTTAGGTACCTATCAGGTAATATGATGTACATATATTATATCCAGATTTATTTATTTTGTAATAAATACATACAAACATTGCCGTCTTTACCTATGTTTATCACCGTTGCAATTGCCCCGTTGTCCCCCTAAATGCACCCCTGATTACTATAACGAGTCGCTTGCAACGATTGTAATCGAAATAAACTCAGTAGCGTACCTAAGATTAAAATGTTGGTGGTGGGGGGGGGAGGGCTGAACCCTCAACCTGATATTACACGCGTTGCCCCTACACTCCCATTTATATTCACTCAAAACTATTAAAAAATATATACCAAAAAGGTGGACAAGTGGGTACAATACTGTACAGCTAGTTGTCGAGTATGTCATTTTGATAAATGTGTTAGAACTTAGATTTGAATTCTATGATAAATATTTCATACGAAGAACGATTCTGAGGGTAAGTGCTAATAGTGTCATCCTACTATCCTAGCAAATATTCAAAAGCTTAATAAAATATTTAACGTTTGTGCAGGGACATCAATAACGGGAGATTAAAATATAACTTATTTTTTTAATCTATATTTAATTTTTGTACTTATTCATTTGTGTAGTAATTTGTAGATGAGTTATGGGTTCTAAATAGAAGGCCCAAAAAGTAAAATGTTCTCAATCGTATTGTAACCTTTTTTGTACATAATATTTGTGCACTACCCTGCGATTTATCTTAGAAATAATAAATATAAATCCCCCCTCCCAAATGAAAATTTCTGTTTAGGCCACTGACTAAGTACAAAAATATTACATAATGCAACTAACCTTTTGGTTGATCCTCGTATTAATAGCTTTAAATTGTAAATGTAAAATTAAATTAATTTACTATACAATATGAAGTAATGACTAAAGAGTGTTGAATAATGATTGCTATTGTAAATGATGTATTTAATTATAATTATATGATAATAATTAATAGCATACTATTAAAATATATTATATATAGTGATTACTAATTAGCAGGGTTATAGACTTATAGGAAAGGAGGTAGAGGATGATGGGACAGATTGTATTTGATATATATGTTACTGAACCATCAGTATTATAATAGGCGAAATAATCTTTGCAACCGTAAATGTTGATGAAAGAGTTCTGGGTTAAATGAGTCATAGATGTTAGCATTATGTCGATATTATTATTTTGAAGTATAGAAAAACAGTTCGTCTTTTTGTTGTTGGTAGTGGCGACTGGCGGCGGGATATAATACTATTTAAAGCAATTGCTTCATAGCTTCATAGCTTCAACATAGTAAATTACCTATCATTTTGATGTAATAAAGGGGATGGTTGGTGGTAAAAATATTAAAAATGTACAGTTTGCTTCAAAGACTCAAAAAAATTTGTGCAGCCACTGTTGTTGGAGCCCATTAGCATTTTAAATGAGTTTAAGCATAGAGGAGTTATTATAAGTCATTTTTAGAGATTATTTTGTTGATAAGAGTGGTAATGAAACTTATAACTTATAAGTGATTTCAAATTTTCCAAGAAAGATGATATTGTTGTACAAACAATTTACAATTTTAAAATACTCTTAACTCTCTTTAAAATTTAAATATAATAAAAAGCCCACGAGAAGCCCTCCCCAATAATCTTATCTTTAATTTTAATTTTAATTTACTCTAATTTTTAAACTGACAAAGCTAAACATGATCTTCTGAGTGTACATTTTGGTATGTTAAGCACTTGTAAGACGGAGAAAGCACATGCTGGTATAACGTCCTTTTAATGACAATTTGAGGTTTTTAGATGTAGATTTAAATAAGAATCTTTCATTGATGGAAAACGATTTTATTTGATTACAGAACTCGGTGTTCTTTTCGTTGGTTTCGTCATCGCCTCATAGACTTATTGGCGTGAATAGAGTTGTCTGTTTTATTCCCCTTTGGTGGAGGAGACGTACTTTTGGAATTCGAGTGTTGGGTTAAGGCTTTGTAAGATCCAGCCATACGTAGATTAAAATATTAGAGATAGATGTTTTGACGATATTGATGGTAAGCATTTGAACCACTTTGTATAATTGAACGGGGGACGGAAGATTTATTTTTATATGGCCGATTAGATGGCATAATCTATTTATATTTTATGCCACTATCAGTTATCTACAAATCTAATATCCAATGGTCACCGAATAAGTAGTGGATCGAGATGGTATCTAATTAGATAGTTAATATTATATTAGTGATTAATTGTACTACTTTTTAGTCAGTCCGGGATTTATTTTTTAAATTCATTTTATACTGCAAGTAAGAACAAATCTATTGAGTTTAGAAAAAGTTGTCAACGAATAACTTTGGAGCGAAATTACACACATGACTATAGACTCTATAAACACTAGATCAAGAAAATTAAATTAAATTATTTCCTTATTTAATAGTTACTCTATAAATAATGCATAGGTATATATAAAATATTTCAAATCGTCAATAGGTATGCATAATATATTAAATAAAAAATAAAATAAAAATGTTGAACACTAGTTAACGATTACCTATACAGTTAATTATTACACTGTTTTATAATATTGTGACTTATTGAGTTAAATAAATCAGGAATATATTTTATTAGGGTTAATGTAAGTTTCTCTAACTTAATTTTTATAAAAAATAATAATATATTATATTGTGTAATGCTTTTTTTGTTAAATAGTTTTTAGTAGACAATAATATTTGTATAAATGTATAATATTGAGTATGTATTTTTTAAAAACTTTGGCAATGACTACAAAAATAAAAACTGGTAATTTGTATTATAATTTTTAACTCTAAAAATATATTTTTAAATAATTATACTAAATATTAATTTTAATGCATGTATTGTATGTAAAAAAATAAATAACTGATTATTGAATATAACTTAATTTTAGTAGAAAATGGTAAGTAATATATTATTATATTGTGAAATACTTTTTTTTTTTAAATAGTTATTAGTTAATAATAATACATAATATTATATGGTATACTAAAATACTATATTATTTAAAAATCATTGCCAACTTAATTTGAAAACGACTAAAATGGCTTTGGTCGAAACGGGTATCTGGGCGAAACGGGAAAGGTTGATTTTGGGCGAAACGGGCCGCGCCCGTTTCTACACGAGACCTACCTTGCAGGTACAAACAATTACATAGGTGTTTTGTTAGTTCCTACACGGTAGAAAAATGAGATATGTAAGTTCCTATAGTTTCTTACAAGTATAAAAAAGGTGCGTACCTATGCAACTTTCTACTAGAAAAATATCTTATTATTATACATACAATTATATAAAAATTATTAATAGTATTATAATAGGTGCGTACCTAAATTTCATTTTCTTACATTTTATAACTCGATAATAGTTTATAAAAAAATAAACTATTACATAAAATTATATAAAAATTTCATGATAGGTACCTATCAGTTTGAAAATTAATGATAACTTTTAATAACTTATAATACGTCTTATTACTTAAAATAATATTCTGTCAATCTGTACAACTACAGCGGGTTACCAAGTGCCAAGGCCATAGATAATAATATGTAATATTACTTATTATTATTATATTGTTATATTTTATACCAATGAGCAACGATTCTGATAATGAAAGATCAAACTATCAAAATCAAAGTAACCAAACTAAACAGTAAATTCTGGACTCTGGTATCAGTATTCCGTATCTCTTCAGTTTTCATTTGATTTTTGGTTGATCGCTATTGGCTATTACTGTTTATTGTTTACCATAGTTTTATCATATTATTTAACTGACTATAAAAAATAGTGGCTTATAGCAGACGCTATATAGTATTCTAAGGCAAAGCTATATAGTGGGCAGTTTATCAAATTATCAAATCAAGCCTGCGGCTTAAATCAACTAAAGCCAGTAAAATATAGTGAATACTAATTGATATTGTGACTTAAAATCACTGATTTCCTAAATATTTTTAAGAATTTTACTCTCAATTTTTCAATATGCCTCATTTCCGTTTGGAAACAAATATTTCCAAGTCTAAAGTAACACCAGTTATTGAAAAAGCTTTCTGCAGCTGTGGCTAAAACTCTTGGAAAACCAGAATCGGTAAAGAACTATTTGTTTTTCATTGTAATTTTTTTATTTAAAATTATTTTTGTTTTATAGTATGTAGTTGTGACTATTGTGCCCGATCAGCTTATGACTTGGGGTGGAGATGATAAGCCCTGTGGTACAGCTACTTTAATGAGCATCGGTTGCCTAGGCGTTGAACAAAACAAGAAACATGCCGCCGTCTTGTATCCTCTTTTAAAAAAAGAACTAGGCATACCAGATGACAGGTTTGTTCACTTAATTCATCTGTCAGTGAAGTAATGTAATTAATAATTATTGTTTCTAGATTATACATAACATTTTCGGACCAAAGTTCATCCAACGTTGGTTATACTGGAACAACCTTTCAAACAATTTTAGGATAATTAATATAAGAGGAACTGGAAATTTGCATCACCTATGACTTTTTTTTAAAGTTTCGTCTTCTATAATCTTCTAAACTTTATAGCCAAATCCATAAAAATTCAACATAGATTTAAATTAAGAAAAATAAACAGTGCATTTACGTATATATATTGATTTATGGTTTTTTGTTATTATAATTTATCCTTAATAATACCTTTTAAGGTTAGTAGCTGTATCTAAAATGATTTCCTCTTCTTCCTAGAACAATATTTATTATTTTACCTAATTAACTCTATGAATCACATTTGAGCACACTTGTCATGGTTCTAAAAATTGAGGTTTTTTAAGAAATTCTTATCAAAATATTGACTTATGTGTACTTGTAATTTATAAGTATGCAACTTAAATGAATTTTCCAAGAATATTCAAGTATAGTAAATAACATTATAATCTACAAATAATTATGAAGCATAAATTCTTGTTTAGAATACTTCAATTGATAGTCATATATACAAAAATAAGAGTTTTGGACTTTAATTGATAAATATTTATTTAACTAACAAAATACTTTAACTTTATTTAACTAATTAAAAATCAATAAAATGGTAGGTGGTAACTAAAGTGTGAATTTTGCTGAAATCTAGCACATGCAATTTTTAGTCAACAGAAAATAAATAATATAATAGTATTATTAAATTTGTCACATTTTAAGATTTAACTTGTTTTCAAGTGATAAATGACTATCATTACAAATGTTTAGTTGCATAATTAATGTGATAAGAAGTTGGTCAACTAACTATCATTAAATAACGATAAAATTAGTTTTTTCAATAATAACAATTATTCAATCAACCCAATTTATTTAACACATTTGAGATTATATTTCAAAATCAGACACATTAATTTCCTTTATATAATATAATATATATAGTATAAAACAAATTATAATTGAACATGAAAGCAATACATTTAATTAATGCACAAGTCTATCAAAAGTGTTTTAAAATATAATAATTCAATAAGTGTTTGTTGTATCTTTAACAACACAAGTATAAAATTATTACAGAGACCTGTATAATAAATATTTGAATACAACTTTTTTTTGGTTTTAACATTATCATGACTAATATGTTTTAAAAAAAAAAATAAAACAAAATACACAAATTGTAGGAATACAAACAAAATGACGCTACCAGGGAAAGAAGATAGGTGATAAGCAGATTCAGTCTTTTCTTGTTCTGCGCTTTCTTGGAGAGGATGGTACTTGATCTTCATTAGTTTGATCAGCCTCTACATCAACCTTTAGAAATACATAAACATACATAAATAAAGTACAATTTTAAGAAATATGAATTATTAACCACACTTTTACACCATTAAACATATTACCGTGAATCAAAAAACATTTCATAACTTATTATACTAAAGTACTTTTAAGTTTCAACCATAACCTTAATATTTATGTGATTAAAATCTGTCCTAAGTTTTAATTATATAGGTAAAGGCTATGACGCAGCAGGATGCATAATCTATTAACAGAATTAATGAAATACATATTATAACAATCTAAACGAACATTTTTTAATACCCTTTAGACTTAATTAAATCCATAAATGAGAAAATTATTCATTTAAATTAGAGTCCTTCCCTTAGGAATCAACAATGGCACATAGTTAGCACACAGAGTTAAATTGTTTTACAGGACAACAAACACATTTTACAAATAGTAATGAAAAGAAATGTTGAGGGAGGGGTTAATGTGTTTTTTTTTTATTCGCATGAGATTGTGTAGACTGAAATTGTAGAAACAAATTGTTTCTTTTCTGATTGCTTGATTATTACAACAAACCAATATACTACCTTAGTATTTTAACTTTATTAGGTATATTTAAAAAGTTATTGATTTGTGTATTCTTAAATGTTCTAAGTGTATTATTTATATTTTTAGATAAATATATAAAAATTTATAACTACAGATATTTTACTCAAACAACATGAGATAATCTGGATTTTAATAAAGACTCACAAATTTATCTTTGTTTCTGAAGAAATCTGGGTTTGATTCAGGCATTTTTTTTAGTTTTTAAATCATTAATGCATTTTTTGAAAAAGTTTGCATTTAAATAGCTTGAGGCAATCAGTGCCCCACAAAGTCAATCACTGATATTAACTTAAAACTATCTAAATATAATATTATTTAATTGTTAGTAGCACTTACATTTTCTTCATCATCATCAGCACTTTTACTATCAACTTCTTCATCTTCTTTTATGTCAGCTTCCTGTTCTTCATCAGATACTTCTGGGTCGACGTCAGGTACAGACTCATCAGTTTTTTTACTTGATTCATTTAACGAAGACTTTTCCTATTTTAATAAGAACAATAAATAATATGTGCTTAAGGGGATTGAAAGAAAGTGATTTTACGGTGAAAGAAAAATTACTTTTGATGTGCAGCAGGTTATAACTATTAATACAACTGTTACTGCAATAACAACTACATACACAGCCCACAACCATGGGTTTTCATTGGTATATCTAATTACAGCTCCAAATACACTTTCCTAATCAAGAAAATACAAATTTGTTAAAATACAATAAAATAATACGACACAGACATCAATTCATAATTATAGGTATATAGATATAATTAATGGGAAAGTACAAATATAACAAGGTTTGACAAACTATCAATTAGTTACTTATTTAGTAACTATCTACCTTTAAATATCTCTGTGTCAAATATGATAAATAAATAATCACAGGTATAGAGCAATAAATTATATAACATAACCATAATCCTGGCTTATAATTCATGTTCTTGAGAATTCTGCCCCAAAAAGTGCCCTATAATATATATATGTAGATATTTTTGTTTGTTTTCAAACTGTTGCTAATGATTCAATGTTAAAGATATTAAAAAGAAACTTATTAGGTTTAATTTTTTTTTTAAACATTACCGATTCATGAGATACATTCTTCTTTTTCAGTGACCATGTAACTTCTGACCATTTTTCAGCATGCACCTCATCATCTGCTATTACGACATTATCAAAATAAATTTTGTCTGAAATAGACCACAATTCAAAACCAACAGCACCCTATAATAATACATAGAAATTATGTTTATATATTTAAGCATAATACACACAATGATCCTTCTAACATGTTATACAAAACATTTAACTATTCATTATTGAAGTAATTTTTAGTATTGTTTTTATTTTATATTTAACTGTTACAATATTTGTATTGTGTGGTAGATTTATTAAAATATTAAATTTTTTAATTTAATGACTAGAAAATGTAGAGACTTATATTTGAGAATGTGAACATTAATTAATTCAAAAAGTATAATTTTTCTTAATGTATAATACACAGTTCACCGCAAATACAAAAGGAATTACTCTATATATTCTCTCCAGTGGTCTCTTTTTTAAAAAACTTATAAATAGACAACTATTAGTTTTTCAAAGTGTCAAATCATGACATGTTTGGGATGTAAAATTTCAAATAAGTTGTCATTAAAAATTAAATACTTAAAAGTTTAGGTTACACAAAATGACATAAATTGACTCAGATATGTACAGTAAAATTATAAATTATCAGTAAAATGGATTATTTTGTTTTTTTTGTATGAGATTATGTAATTAAGTTGATTAAACAAACTATTTGCATATGAAATATATCACAACAAATTAAAAAATACTTACAATAGGTGAAGATTTAAGTGGATTTTTGTCATAAAAGTAATCAGGGTTATGTATAAGTCGAGGTGTCCACTTTCCACGATAGTTTGGATTGTCTATTAATGGCTGCTTCCATTTTCCTTTGTACTTTGGATTTTTCATTAATGGTCTTGACCAAGGTCCACAACCTGAACGATCTTCACATTTTGGATTATTAATTAAAGGTGGTTCCCATTCTCCATCCATTTCATTATCCCTTTTAGTAAATTAAATTTGTTAATCAGTCAATAGCACATACAGATTATAATAATTTTGATTTACTTTAATTGACCAAGTACCATGTTTTATTAGATTTTATGGGTTTATTTAAATCTTATTTTAAATAAATTAAGCCATTGGATAAAGATTATCTGATGCCTGATACTTACCAATCAGTGGGTTTAACTGCTGCTGTATCAGGAATATGGGTGGGTTCTTCTTCCAACCAATCGTCTGGCATAGATGAGGATTCATCAGGAATACTTTCAGGTTCACTTTCATCCCAATCATCTGGTTTAACAGCACTTTCATCAGGAATCTTACTTCTTTCATCCCAATCTTCAGGTTTTACATCGTTCTTATCAACTATTTCTTTTGGTGGGTTAATTGGTGGATTAAAATCATCTTCTGATAGTAAATCTCCTTCATATTGCAACTATAAACAATAATAAATTAAACTTAATAATAACATTTTTAAAATAACTTACTTCTTGGTCTAAAAAGAATGAATATGAGTTGTCTGGTTTAACAACTAAGGTAAACAAATGAGGTTGATGGTCAGTAAATACAGTCTCTTCAGTTTTTAATTTTAAACAGTGTTTTTCAGTAATTGTATTGTTTTTAGGATTTTTATGTCTAATTATAAAATGCACTTTGGAAGTTGGTCCACATTTATCTGGGCCAAACATAATCGAGTATGGAGTTTTATCATTGAACTGAGTTAAATCCTTAATATGAGGACCATCTGTAAGCAACTTTAAGTATGCTCCACCACAAGTATGTGGCTTTTGAAAAGCTACTTCATATTGAATAACTAGAGTTTTTCCACCATCAAACTTAAACGGCTTATCAAGTTTTGATGAAATAGCAGCATGACGACTCTCCGATGCTAAAACTAGACCTCTGTCACCTTTCAGTGGGAATCTTTCTAATTCCTCAATACTCCATTTACCTAACAATATAAATAATTACAATGATTAAAAATTACATTAAATATTAAACAATTATTTTTTTTATTCTCTCTTACTTTTTTTAAGACAAAAGTGTATTTACAATCTGTAATATTTATGTACAATAAGTAAAATTTATAATAACAAATAAAAACACTGAACTGATGTATAGTGGGAGGAGACCAATCAGTGTTTCCACACTGACTTTGGGGAGGGAAGTTTTTTAATTGATTAAAATAAGACAGGATACAGGAGATCTTGACACCAGTATTTTTTTAATCAACATGTGGGATCATTTGGAATGAATTCACTGACAAAGTTTGATGCTAATGAGTTTGTGTGGTTAGCTGATTTGATGTGGAATATTTTGTAATAGCTTTTAGCTGATGTAGAGACTGTTTTGATTTTTAAATCTTTATGTAGTGAGCGGTTTGAGACGTACCATGGTGCAGATGTTATTTGGCGAAGAGAAATAGACTGGAATGCTTGGATGGTACGTATTTGGGAAGGCTTGGCACATCCAAACAACTATCTATAATTCAATATTTTATAAAATTTATATGGTACTAGAATATTGTTCCATATTCTGTTATTTAGCAGCTAACATTTTTTTTAAGATTTATGGAAAAATAATTTGAAAAATGTCTCCTAGATTTTAAGGGTTAATCAAATAATTGTGTTAAGAAGTAATTAAGGATTGGCTCGTATGTGTTGAACTACTCAAATTGTTATTTTAATTTAACGAATGGATAGAATCAATAAGACATAAATTATTAACTTTTCTATTAGACTGCATATCTTTTATCCAACTGTTGGAAACATATTCGTTGTAGAGTGCTATCTTGTTTTAATTAATGTATGTAAATAGTTATATTTATACCAAATTCTAGGCGTGTGCAAAAACAAAAAAACATTTATTGATATATATTATAAATAGTTTACCATCATATTGAGCTAATTCCTCATCAACATCTGGCTTCTTGGAATTAGATTTAATCCATTTTTTATCCAATAATGACGGATTGTCAAAATCTTCGGCCAGGTACACGCCTACTTTACTTGCAGTTGGGGTGGTGTAAGGCACTGATTCTACGCTTACATCACTCTGGTGAAAGATACATGAATTAGGTAAAACTATTGAATTGATTGTAGATGAGATTCGTTGCTTACCGGCGCTTGTTCTTCGCCGAATGCCAAATGCACGACCAGCACTGCTATGCATGCCAGTAGTTTAATTTTGGCCATTGATATCTGTTCGACACGAACAATAAAATACGTATGAAAAACAATAATGTATTAAAAAATTCACGACAACCAATGAAGAAAACGTACTCACACGGTAGCACTCGTAGAGACAAGAAGATTTTCCACCCAAATAGTCAAATGTCAAATACTCAAATCGTATATTCGTACTATGATAATGAGAAAACCTACGTAACACCACGAATCCAGTAATCTGCGGCAGGGGTTTCGGCAGCGGAAAATGACAAGACAGAAATAATATTACTGGACCGGCGTATTACCACAGTGTGTGCAACTTTACTGTATTAGTGTGTTCAGCATTGAATGACTGTGGCGATGATGATGATGATGATGATGTTGATGATGTTATTGATATTTTCCCCCACCTTCCCGCTCTTTTTCTAAATTTTTCTAAATCATTACGATAATTATTTTGAAATTTAAAAATTATAGCCGTACTCCGGGGCCGGCCGTTTCAGAAATTTGTCTCATTTTTACCCTGACAAGTTAAGTGTGTTGCTAGTGAGCGATGCACGAGGGTAATATTTTAAATTAAAAGTAATTTTTTTTAGTTTCCCCAGATTGCCGTTCGTTGCCGTTGTTGTCCGCACTGTTCTTGTGACATCATAGGCGTACCACTAACACACCGCGGCTGTTTGATTCTCACGTTTAAATACGAATCGCGATCGCGATCATTGTTGACTGCCAAGACCGCCGCCGACTGTACGAACAAATATAGGCAGCCTTTTGCGGTGTTCGGAACATGTAGCCGCCAAATTTCCAGCATTTGACACCAGCAGTCGTCGTTGATTGCTCAAACCCTCTCGAGTCACGATGACGGCCAGCACGGAAGCGGCTGCGGCTTTACCCTCCACGAAGGTGATACAGGTAACGAACATCGCACCGCAAGCCACCAAGGATCAAATGCAAACGTTGTTCGGTTGCATTGGCAAGATCGAGGATATCAGGCTGTACCCGCAGATACGTGACGTGTCTGTGCCTGTCCAGTCTCGTATATGTTACGTCAAGTACTTCGACTCGCTATGCGTAGCCGTCGCACAACATCTCACAAACACCGTGTTCATCGACCGAGCTCTCATCGTCACGCCCTATCAATCCTCGGTTGGTGACATACCAGATGAATACAGAGCGCTTGACATTGCTAACCAAGCGAACATCGTGCCCGGATTGTATCCTTCTGATCCCAAGTTGCCGGCGCACGTCGTCAATCAAATCGAAGGCATCCCTCCAAATCAGGTAATTGTCACTAATGATCCAGTATTGGCGTCCAATGGTTTACCACCATACCCACAATTGCCAATCACCTATGATTCTAGACGAATTGAAGAAATTAGGCGTACCCTAGTTGCAATTAACGTGGACGAAAATGTGACTGACGAAGAACTTATAGGTTTTTTCCAAAAAGCCGGTGATGTCAAGTATGTTAGATGGTGTAGTAGAGAAAACGATATTACTCGTTATGCTCTTGTTGAATATTCCGAACAAGCTAGTGTTATATCTGGATTAAAACTCAATGGAGTACAACTTGGCACCCGTCCAGTTCAAGTGACACACGCGACTCAAGCAATTGCTAAGCCAATGGCCAAAAGTAATGAAGCAGCCCAAAGAGAAATCGAAGAAGCTATGACTCGAGTAAAAGAAGCTCAAAGTTTGATTTCTGCTGCTATTGATCCTGTCATTGGAATCTTATCTAAAGACAAAAAGCATGGCCATTCCCATCGTAGATCACGGTCTAGATCACATGGTAGGAGTCGGCGTAGGTCTTCATCTAGATCACGTAGAGGACATTCACGCTCTCGTAGAAGACGATCTAGATCACGTTCTAAAAGGCGCTCTAGATCAAGGAAAAGGTATAGGAGTCGTGACCGACGTTCTAGAGAGAGAAAAAGGTCACGGTCTAGGAAAAAGTCTAGGTCTAGGGAAAGAAAACGCAAAACATCCAGAGATAGACGAAGATCAAGATCTAAATCCAAGTCTAGACGCCGCTCAAGATCTAGAAGTCATAAAAAAGATAAAAAATATTCTTCTAAACGAAAAGAAGATAAATCAGAAAAACGAAAGGAAAAGGACAAAAAAAAAGAAAACACCCCACCTGTTGTATCAGAAGTTGAGAAAAAAAATAAATCTGCTACGCCTGAAAAAGAGAAATCTAGGTCAGCTACACCACCAAGAAGTAATTCTAGGAGCCCACGATCGTCTAGTAAATCCCCAAGGAGAAGTAGTTCGTCTGGTAGAGGAAAGACATCTGAGCCAGTGAAAAGCCGTTCGTCTAGTCATATTAGACGAACATTATCTCCAAAAAGATCTAGAACCAGAACTCCGCTTCGTAAGCGGGTGAGCAGATCTCCTCGCAGAAGTCGGACACCTAAGAAACGCTCTAGGAAATCTAATTCATCGCAGAGACGTACTCGAAAACGTAGTGCAAGTCGTCATAAGTCGCGTTCGCCCACAGAAAAAAGACATAGACGTACACGTTCACCAATACGTAGATCTCCATCCCCCAGATCACCTCCTCCAAGAAGAGTTACTAGAACTCCACCATCTAAAAGCCCTCAGTCTCCTGCCAGGTCTGTATCCAGGTCACCACCCGTTAGGAGTAAGAGAAGCGCATCTGACAGCAGAAAAAGAAGTAAATCAGCAAGTCGAAAAAGAAGCTTATCAGTAGATAGGAGTAGAAGAAGTATGTCAATTGATCATAAATCCCGATCAGAAAGTAAAAGTAGAAGCCATACACCTGGTTCAGCGAGGAGTAGGTCTCCTGGATGGAGGAAAAGTGAATCCACTTCACCACCACCAAATAGACGAAGTACTTCTTAAAATCCATAATCTTAATTTTTTTTATTATGTACTTGTAACCATGTACACAATTTATTTTAATTATCCAATTACATTAACTAAACATGATGTACTTTTGCTTTAATTTAATATAAATATATATATGTATCTCGTATCTGGTGTATATTATATGCAATTATATTTAGTATTTTTTTTATACTTATTTTCCTGTCCTAATTAAATTCTGTACCACAAGTCACCATAGGGAATGTATACAATATGCTGAAAATTAAAAATATATTGTAGGTGCATTCAATATATTACATTGATACAGTTAACTTAAGTCTAATCACTGATCATCAACAAAAGGGATCACCTAACAGTATTTTTGGAGCGTCACTTTAAAGATTCATAAAGTTTGTCATAAGTATATTATATTATAACTAAAATGTTAATCAAGGGTACTTTCATGGTCATTTATCCTCCACAAGTTTCATGAAAAACAATGACCTTATCTCCATTGAAAAGTTTTATTTAAAATTAATAGTTATAAAAATGTTTACATAATATATGAATTAAATAATTAGAAAATTCAAAGCACAAATATATTAAAACTAAATTTCAGTTTGATTTAATGCTGATTCTGAGGCACTATTAACTTTTCTAGTTAAAATATTTAATGCTTCTAAGAAAATTAAACTTGGATCCATTGCTCCAACTGATTCAATTGTAACTGAAAATGAAAAATGATTCATTAACGTCTATAAGCTAGCTAACATTATTTTAAACATAAAAAAGTATTTATATAGGTTATTATCAGTGCAAAATTTAGTTAATAATATGCTACAAATAATTAGTTAACTAAGATTTAGTTTAAAGTTATTTTAGATTTTTTAAGACTTAAGACAATTTAAACTTCTAGATAAAAGAATTATCACTAAATAATAGTTACATTTTTTATAATAAAAGTAGAAAAATAATTTACTAGTTTTATGAATGGTAATATCATCAATATTGACATTTTGCATGTCATTTTTTAATTGTTTTGTTCTACAGAACTTTAATATTATATTTTTTTGTATTTTTGAAAAATGTCAATGTTATCATACTGATCATAAATTTATAGTCAAATGAGAAAGTATCCGTGATACAAAATTGAAAATTCCAGCTTTGGTTGTTTATTCTTGTCTGAAGATGTAATTATAAATATAATATGATTCACTTTGAAAACTAATTAATTAGTTTCAAAATTAAAAATTAAAAATATTAATGTATGACCTTCTATTAAATTAATCCATCTGTTAGTGTTCAAGAATAACACCTTTAAATATTAACAATACTTTCTTATAAAATATCATCTGTATGATAAAAATAAAATACATAATAAACTGAATAATAATATACTTTAATAATTAAAAAAATTGTTCTGTGAAATTTTCTAATGTTGCTTTTAGAGATAATTGACCATTCAAAACTAAAAAAAAAGAGAATCTATCTAGAATCCTTTGTGCAAAAAGATTTATATTTTTAAATTCTTGTAAAGTATTTGATTAAATATTTGCATTACAAACAAATAAAATCTATAAACTTAGAACCAGACTAAAAAACTTACATATAAAATGGTCCTGAATTTTGGAAAGTAAAATTTTATTATCAAATTGTTTGTATCTAAATACATTCCTGGAACTATTATCTTTTCGGGAATCTTCTACAAACGCAATAAGGACACCTAGGGGTCATTAAAAATATTATTATTGGGTCATTAAAAATAATTTTTATAATACATTTTTACAAAAAATACACACCTTTAACACTTTTTAATCCAATGACACCCTTAGGAAAGCATGATTGTAGTAATACTGCATCATTTCCTTTAATTTCATCAAGTAATTTAATATTTGGCATCATTCTATACCATGCAGTGCCTAAACATCCAAAGTACAACAAATCATTTTATCTGTGCATTAATTAAAAATTTTTTTTTTTATTTATTATAGTTAAAATGTTTCAACATATTACATGTTATACAAGTTTGTTATTTCAATTAATACAATTTAGTTTAAAATTTAACATCTACATAACACACAATAGGTACTTACAAACACTTTGAAATTTAGCATGGTCTTTAGGTATCCCTTTGACTGCAAACATTTTAAGTTCAATTTCCTGTCCTGGTCTTAACTTTGCAATGAGAATATCGTCACTAATTATTCCAACATCTTTTTCAGTGAAAATATCTTTTTGGTTGCCCAATGGTAACCATTTTATGTGTTTTGCGTATACTAAAATTATTTGAAAACAAGCATCTCAATTTAAAAAAAATAATATTATGTATGATATTAATAAAAAACAAAAAGTGGAAAGTAGATAACCACTCCGTTGTACAGTAGATGTTGAGTATACCCCGTTACAGTAACGTATCTGTCTTAAATTAGACATCAATAAATCATTACATTCAAAAAACATTTCTGAGGACACGGTCTGCAGTTTATATTTAACAATGTATATATTGGCATTGTAATAGTTTATTTTACTTTTGCAAAAAGGCAAGGTGAATACATTTTTACCAAAAACATTGCATTTATTATAATACTAATAATTCATTATTATAAAAGCTTATATTTATATCATATATTATTGTTATTAACTTTTGAGTTAAGATTTGTATTATTAAATTTGATTATTAATTATGGGACACAACGTTTGCATTCGTTTTTAGTATGCAATGATTTATCATTTGATTCAAATTCAACACATCCATTATAATGACATACTTATACAACTACTGTACAGCAGAATAGTATGCAATAAGTCTATCTCTAAGATTCTGACTGAAGCGATAAATGTTATGATTTTACCATGGTGTGTTTTTTTTCATTTTCTACAGACACGGACAATGGAATACTATACTACGGTTAATAGTCAAATTATCTCTTGGTTTTTTAGATTAAATATGTTTTATGGCGGGAAAGTGAATCTAGTTGGTACATTTGGGAGGTCATAATTACCAATATTTTACAAAAGCCATGGGAAAATCAAAAATAAAAGAAAAACAGTCACTTTTAGCAAAATTGGTTTGTGACAAAATGTGTTGTTATTTTAAGTTCAAATTTGGACAAAATTTCATATTAAAACATAGAATAGCTATTTAAGTTATTTTGTTGTAATTTAAAAATATTATCCGTGGGTACTTGATAGGTTGACATCTATAATAAAGCTCAGAATCATTTTTCATAGACAATGATTTTATATCAATGAATTTAAATTAAACACATCCGTTACAGTTACTCTCTAAACACCTTACGTACAGTAGAGCGCATGCGCGGATAGGTACTTTCTTTACCGGATATATTTATTAGGGTCACATATACTTAGCGCCTACATATTGTATATAAAAAAATTTAACTTTTTTTGAGTTTTATCTCATTGGCACAAATCTTGATCCATTTTTTTAAATTTTTGAAGCCCCACTTTCAAAATTTTGTTTAGACAATAGACAAAATTAATAACTATCATATATATATATTATTTAATAAATTAAAACACAATTAGCAAAACGCCACAGTCACTATAGCCAATAGGAAAAGTAAAATAAAAATAGTAACACCTAATGAAGTATTAAATATACCATAGGGCTTAGAGTAAGAATAGGTAAATTTTATTATTGTACTTGTTTAATCACTTCATAGTTTATAGTTTAATACTGTGTATGTTGATGTAAGAGAAAATTATATTTTAGACATTCACATTAATACGCATTGTTTAAAAATAGAACAAATTGAATATATTATGATACAAATATATTTATATAAATGTAAATAGTAGATACGTCATGCTCAGCTATCACCAATCGAAAAATTAATTATTTTTATTGTTGTTTATTTTTGTTTTTCGAACATTGATTATGTTTTATTATATTTACATTTTATACATAATTTAGTTTCAGCACAATAGTACATACAACAAAATAGATATGTATTTATACAGGTATCGACGAGTTTATACAGAGGTCCCTAGGCCCTAACAGAGGTTACAAATATTACAATTAATACGCATTAAGGGCCGCCAGAGTGCCGCCCGGAATTATAAAAATTTACTTTATTATTATTTTTTTTTTTTTTAACTTTTTGTGATGGGGACCTCTGGGTATAATATTGATGGGGGCCTACCAGGAAAATCCCAATTTCTTGATGGGCCTATCCGCCCATGGTAGTGTTACTCACTTTTGTTTTGTTTTTTTTTGTTCTGGTTGTTTTAAATATTACTGATTATTTTTTACTTTTGACCCTTGAATGTACCAACCAGATACAATTTTCTAGCAGAAACCATCCTTAAAGTGGAGTATCAAAGATTTTTTACTGCCCAAAAAGGTGATGATAGGTACAAAAATAAAAAATATTTTGTTTTAAAGTTTCATCGTAAAAAAATTTTACCTGGAAAACTAATAAACTGTTTGTGAGCTAATGCATCTAAATCCTTTTTTGTACATTTTATTTTCATCTCATAAACTAGACTGTCATGTTCACTGGGTTCAGAATTTTCTGAAAAAAAAGTAAATCACTAAAATATAACATGATAATGTAATTTAAAAATATAAAAGAATACTTACCATCTTCTTTCATTTTAAACTGCCTAGGATCTGCTTTCAATGGAATTAAGCCCAATCGATGTGCAAGTATTTCATCAAGTATATAAGATGTGTTCTGATATATATGCACCTTTTCAATTGCCATACTAGGTACCTAAAAAAATATTAAGTATGGTAAGTACTTCTAATTATATAAAATTGATTGGGATATTGAAATTTTTAAGTAACGCAAAAAAAATAAGAACAGCAGAGAAAGACCATGCACAATTGCATGGGTCAAGCCGCTAGACATTGGCAGCAGAGGAGTAGTAGTGTACACACAGATTCTCCTCTTCTGTCGGTTCAAACGGAAAAAAAAAAAAAAGTAGCTAGACATATAAGATGCACAACTTATTATGATTTAAAAAGGAAAGCAGAGAAGCGAATGGAGGAGTGCTGTCAACCAGCTCCTGGGTTAATTATTAAAAAAAAAAACATAACAAATAAGATCTCAGTTAATGATATTATGTTAATATTTTAGACATTATTACCTCAGATATAATAACTCTTCTTAAACTATTAGCCACAGCTACATCAACTCCAATGAGGTCAAACTCCAAGTCACTGTCAGAGCGGCTAATTATATTTATCTTGAAATTCTAAAACATTATTAAGATTAGACAAATTATAAAAAAGGTATATCAAATTCTAATAGGCACCTAATTTACTCAAATAAGGTATTGCAATATTTACCTTTACAAATTCGTCGTAATTATATGGTTTTATTTCATTTCCCAAAGTCTGAAAATAAAATTATGAACATCGTCCATGTTACAATGAATGTACCAACGTTATTATTTAGTATTATAAATTACAAAAACATCTTTGCCTACCCTTTCAATGGAATATTTGTTCATTATTATTGGATTGTCCATTTTGTGAAAGAAGTGACTATTAATACGTCCGATGTGAATCCATGAACTGTACTTCACAGGATTAGACGGTAGGCAACACAGATATTCTATATATCTGTGGTAGGCAATTAGAAAATTATAACTTGTCAGTTACAGAATTGAGATTTTAAATTCGATTTTTATACAATGCGTGAGTTGCACATGCCCTCATCACCAAGTTTATTATCAATGGTCAATGACGCTTATCAATTATCTTAAGTGTTTCGAGTAAGTTGTCCACATGGTGGTTATGGAGAGGTGTAAACCACGGATATAGATACTATGGTTGCACGTCGGCCTATATCAAGGTTTATAGATAAATATTATCTATAAACCTTGGGCCTATATTGGATCACAGCGTTGAGCGGCGCCGAATGTTCTTATCAAATCTGACGAAAAGTCGCGTTTTACTAGCGCCCTCAACAGTAAGAACTCTTATACCATGTTACCATAACTTTACAAACATATTTATAATATTTTATATCTGTGGGTATATGATATACCAGGTCATAGAGGGCGCTAGTATCAAGCGACTTTTTTTAAATTCTTGATAAGAACATTCAGAGCCGTCATATCTATAGACAATATATTAACTAGTTAATACACAGATATATACTAATATTAGTATATATCTGTGAGTTAATATGTCTATGGTCATATCCGTGCTCGTTGTGCAACCATTAATTATAGTATCTATATCCGTGGTGTAAACACTCCCGACCATTATCATTATGATAGTGGGCCGAAAAAAGTACACCGCTTATAACAGCCACCGGGAACGCCGACTACCTGATGAGGGCTCAAACATATTCAAATTTGTATGTCACATTATATAGTAAGCAAGCGCCAAGCATTGAAGCATTTAGTCTAATTATACCTACTTATAGTAATTTGTTATTAGTATATTTAATAATTACAAGGACTATAGACTTCATGATCTATAATATTAGAAAATGTTCTTAAATAGTGCAACTTAAAATGTGTATATGGGTACTTTTAATTCATATATTTTAATACTTAGTTTGGAAAACATTTACTAGTAGGTGGGTAGTAGTTTTTATTTATATTAATTTTGATATTTTTTCAATCTCTTTATAGTATTTTTCCTGTATGATATTTGGTCATGATGCCTGTTGCAGGCAAATATCATTCTACTATTCAAGTGTTCAAAAAGAAATTAATTATGAATATAGAAGGATAAGATACTAAAGGCAGTTTCTATTCCCTGCTGTTTTTATATTTTATTTTGTTTGGGTAACCCAAAGTTACACCTAGGCACACAACACTTAAAGGACTATCCAAGTGAAAATTAAAAAAAAATGTTTTTATGAAATATTGAAGAATGAAAACAATTATTCATTTTGATAAAAATAGTTTTTCGTTGCTTCGCTCCGTTCGGTTCTTATCGACGTTTTAAAATGACGCGTGACGTCACAGGTTCTATCGGTCGGCCGCCCGCCTATTTCAATACACGTATTTCCTCGACGCGTCGTTAGTAATTTATTTATATACTAGTTGCTTGTGAAACTCGCTGTCCTGAAACTCGGGAGCTTGTGAGAGTCGGCGATGCAGACGTCAATGTCGTTGAAATTACTTTTAGAAGTCACTCCTGTTGACGTCATGGGTAGTTAAAAAACAAAAATTTAGGAGGTGATAACGATTTTTGATAAGTCTTAGAGATCTCGTTTCGAGC